ACACATATGTATTTATGCATGTTTCATTAAATAATATAGACAAGTTTTGTCTATTTATTTTATGTAAATTCCTTTCATTTTGTCTGATAAGCTTAATAACATTGTCATTGAAAGATGAAAGAAAATCACCATATTGATACATGTTTGTGAATCCTATCTACGTTTTCGGCTTACATAAGCCATTATCAAAGATGGCAATAACATTTCAATATATTAAACAATACACGGACAGAACAGTAATGATAGTCTGTTCATGTTTACATGGAAGATTTCCAAGCAACGACAAGCTCGTGTATACGAGACGCGGAAGCGAAAATCGCACCGCAGCTCGTGACGTCATAGATGACCAGGCGAGAGTGAAAACGAGAAGTATTAGGTATGGGAAGACGTTGGTATAAACCAATGGCTTCTGTTATCAATATAGGCATTTAAGAATATTTGTGGAGATTTCGTAGTTTATTTTGTCCAGGTTCGGTTTCTACTGTTTAATGTATATAGCTTCAAGTACTTTTAGTTTTTGTTTATTGTTTTCATGTTTAAGTATAGTTGTATTTTCAACGAGGATTTTCCGGAATTGTGTGTATATATATATATATATATATATATATATATATATATATATATATATATATATATATAGAATATTTATTTTTATTTTTTATTAGTTGCATTGTTATATCTATATATATGTTAGATAGACGTGTTTGAATAGACATCACAGTTTTTAACAGTGTAAATTTACGTCTACCGGCCTATGTATTCCAGCGTCTTAATAAAGAAAATGTACCTTTGGCTGAGAATCTCATGAGCTAATTACAGACATTTCTCTCAGCTATGACACAAACTAAAAACACCAGATATCTATTTTGATATTTTGACCTCTTCCGATAATAAATAAACATAATAAAAATCTATCTTGATTTCACCTTTAAGTTAAAAAACAAAAAACAAAAAAAAACAACTTAAATTTCACAAATGGTTAGAAAAACGATATTACTCCTGGGGGAACTTCGTTTTTTACCTGGTCGACTGACAACTGGACACTCTATCCAATTTCAAAAGCACGGCGCGCACACGGGCCTTGCAGAAGTTATACCGACGAAGACGTGTTGGGATGTCATCTTTCAGAGTGTATATACATCTCGTAAATTTCAGTCACGTGTGAAACGGAATCACGTGTTCAAATGCGACCAATTGAAAAAGAAAAGAACGCTACGATCGTTTGTTGTAGCTCAATACATCAATCAGATAGCAGAGAATTTTGGCGACCACATTTTTTTTCCATTTTTTTTTTCTTGTGGTGGACACAAGATGGATGACACATTACCTTAAATGGAAATTCCGTGTCGTACACTCACGCAAAAATCTAATTTCAAAACGGAATTCTTTCATTCTCATACACAGATTTGTTCGGTCACTAGTGCCCATCATTTTGTTATCGTCACTCCGTTTGCATCCTCTGGGACGGCTGACCCAGAGGAGGAAAATACAACTAAACCAATCGAATTGCCACGATGTCTCGAGTGATGTAAAAAAAAAAGTTTAATTATATATTCGTAACATCTGATAAGAATACGAGAATAATACATTAAATAATTGACCCAGACGATCAAGGTTCGCTTCTCGGTCCAACCTTCTTCTTCCTCTACATAAATGATTTGACTAAGATAGGGGTGGGCAAACTGCGGCCCTCTAGGAGGTTTTTTCATGCGCAGTGATTGTTGATGGTCGTCTGCACAACACGATCTCTCCAACCCAGCGAACAATACCCCCTAAAAAAACATTAGATTGAGGATGAGTGTCGTGTATTTAATGAAGAATGTTTATATGTTGTATTATCTTAGAACGCACCGCCCGATTTTAAAAGGTGAGGCCCGTTGGCTTTTCATGGCCCACTCATGTGACCCTCGTTTTGAAAAGTTTGCCCACCACCGGCCTAAGAGTATACACGTGGTTCTCTATGCTGATGATACAACGGTATATGCGAGCATTTCCCAAACACTCAATGACTAAAGCTTGACAGGTGATCTCTCTCCTAATCTAACTCTAGCAGCTCAGGCGGGGGAAGCGGCTGGTTGCATTCAATATCTCAAAAAATTCTTGGAATTATTATTATTATTATTAGTAGTAGTAGTAGTAGTAGTAGTAGTAGTAGAAGCATTATTATTATTTGTCTATATTTCTGACACGAGGTATTATGTACATTATTTACATTATTCGGACTATTGTCCTCATCTTTGTCGCCATAATTATCACAACGTTTCGGCCTTTCAGTATCTGTCTATATTTCTGAGATGAGGTATTATGTACATTATTTACATTATTCGGACTATTGTCCTCATCTTTGTCGTCATATTTATTACAACGTTTCGGTCGTTGTACGTTCCGGCCTTTTTCAGGTGGTTGGAATGTCGAACTTAACCCTTTATTTCGCTCACTGGAGTAGACTGGTCTAGTCCAACGTGCCATGTTTAATGGATGTCAGTTATCAGTTATCTCCTGTTAATTCTTAGAGTGTGAGTTCAATACCCGGTTAAGGCAGTGGAGAACTTGGAGAGGGGAATTAACAGGAGATAACTGATAACTGATCCATTAGACATGGCACGTGAAACTAGAACAGTCTACCCCCAGTGAGCTCTGTCGTTACGGTTCTCTTAATGGCCTCTCCGCCTTCAAAACCGACTCCTCTGATGATTCCTTTGAGCTTGGAGAAAAGAAGGATTTTTTTTTTATTGTAACCAGATGCCGAATAATTATAAACAAGGAGCGAACAAGGATACTAACACAGCGGTCATTTCTAAACTTAGATTAGCAGTTTTTTTTTTCTAATATATTTTTATATTTTCATGTTTTGACCTTGGTTTGGGGGTTCATTATTTGCCCAATAACTGAAACACTAACAGGTGCTACCAACCTGGATGGACCTGTGGGCCTGGTGGACCTGAGATCAATGGCAATTAAGAAGTGGTCCCACGCTCTTCAAAATCTCCCGATCAGAGGCCTTGCTGCCGGACGTAGTTTATCGTTATACCCAGGAGGAAATCAAACTGGTCACAATATATAGAAAAAAGATGTCAGTTTAATTTAGATGTTCCCTTTCCACTTATATCTAAACTATGATTATCTTATTACAATTGTGCTTGTCCCCACCTCCGTTACTTCGCACGACCTCTACGCCCTGCTAAAACCTAAAAAATAATGGATTATTCCGTTTTGATCTCATGGAAAGAGGAGAAAAGACACTAATTGGTTTCATTGAGAAAGAAAGAAAGAAAGAAAGAAAGAAAGAAAGAAAGAATAGATTAAGTAGACTTGAAAGAGAGTTATAGAAAGAAACAAGAGATTAGATTAGATAAGAAAGAAAGAAAGAAAGAAAGAGTTAAAGAAAGAAAGAAAGAAAGAAAGAAAGAAAGAAAGAAAGAAAGAAAGAAAGAAAGACGTGGAGATAGAAGTGTTTACCTCATAAAGGACTCTTCCCTTTTTTTCGCGTGGAAAGAAGGAACAAGAGAGTTTGTTTCAGTGAAAGAAAGAAAGAATAGATTAAGTAAACAAGAAAGAGAGTTATAGAAAGAAACAAGAGATTAGATAAGAAAGAAAGAAAGAAAGAAAGAAAGAAAGAAAGAAAAGAGATTATGTAAAAAAAAGAAAGAAAGAAAGAAAAAGAAAGACGGGGAGATAGGAGTATTTACCTCATAAAGGACTCTTCCTTTTTCGCGTGGAAAAGAAGTAACAAGAGAGTTTGCTTCAGAAAAAAAAGAAAAGAAAAAAAGAAAAGAGATTATGTAAGAAAGAAAGAAAGAAAGAAAAAAAAGAAAGAAAGAAAGAAAAAAAAAGAAAGAAAGAAAGAAAGAAAGAAAAAAGAAAGAAAGGGAGGGGAGATAGGAGTTTTACCTCATAAAGGACTCTTTCGTTTTTTTTTTCGTGGAAAGAAGGAACAAGAGAGTTTGCTTCAGTGAAAGAAAGAAAGAAAGAAAAAGAAAGAAGAAAGGGAAAGAAAAGAAAAGAAGTGAAAGAAAGAAAGAAAGAAAAAGAAAGAAAGAAAAGACGGGGAGATAGAAGTGTTTTACCTCATAAAGGACTCTTCCTTTTTTCGCGTGGAAAGAAGTAACAAGAGAGTTTGCTTCAGTGAAAGAAAAAAGAAAGAAAGAAAAGAGATTATGTAAGAAAGAAAGAAAGAAAGAAAGAAAAAAAGAAAGAAAGAAAGAAAGAAAGAAAGAAAGAAAGAAGGGGAGATAGGAGTGTTTACCTCATAAAGGACTCTTTCTTTTTTTTCGCGTGGAAAGAAGGAACAAGAGAGTTTGCTTCAGTGAAAGAAAGAAAGAAAGAAAGAAAGAAAGAAAGAAAGAAAGAAAGAAAGAAAGAAAAAAAAAAAAGATTATGAAAGAAAAGAAAGAAAGAAAGAAAGAAAAAAAGAAAGAAAGAAAAAAGATCAAGAAAGAAAAAAAAGAAAGAAAAGAAGGGAGATAGGAGTGTTTACCTCATAAAGGACTCTTTTTTTTTTCGCGTGGAAAAAGAAGGAACAAGAGAGTTTGCTTCAGTGAAAGAAAGAAAGAAAGAAAGAAAGAAAGAAAAGAGATTATGTAAGAAAGAAAGAAAGAAAGAAAGAAAGAAAGAAAGAAAGAAAGACGGGGAGATAGGAGTGTTTACCCCATAAAGGACTCTTCCTTTTTTCTTCGCGTGGAAAGAAGGAACAAGAGAGTTTGTTTCAGTGAAAGAAAGAAAGAAAGAAAAGAGATTATGTAAGAAAGAAAGAAAGAAAGAAAGAAAGAAAGAAAGAAAAGAGAAGAGATTATGTAAGAAAGAAAGAAAGAAAGAAAGAAAGAAAGAAAGAAAGAAAGAAAGAACGGCAGCCCGAATAGTTTAACGTCTGTTTCAGTGAAATGGAAAAAGTTGTCAGTTTCCAATCTTTTTATTTGTATCTCCTTATTTCTTAAAATAACGACCAGATGAATTGTTAAAGTTGTTAAGCCCAAACACTTAACAATAAGTTAGGGAAATTTCTACGGATATTTTATTGTCCTAGAACTCGCCATGAGCTTACTCAATCATTAACTGAAGAATTAAGATTCACCAGAAAATTCGAATAGAAAAATCGTGAAATTTTCACGGGTCATTCTAGTAAACTATAATTCTGCAAAGTAAACATTTCACTGAAATATATTGGAAAATTTCCACGTCCTTATTTACGATCAAGAAAATACAAACTTCAAGCAAAATAACCGCAATATATAGAGAAAACAACTGTCAGCTTAAATTAACGCAAGGATGACATGGTTGAAGGTGACGTATTCCATCTATATATAAAAAACAGAGGATGTCTGTGTGTCTGTCTGGGTGGTACCTTTTCATTCGAGATCCATCCAATCGATTTTGTCCAAACTTGGCACATACATTGTATAGTAGATAAGTCCTTAGCGTAAAAAATCGATAATTAAAAAAAACAAAAACAATAATTAATAAATCCTATCAAAAATCCATAAATCAACTTTTTTCCTCGGATTTCGTTCAAACACGCTATGTAGGTAACTCACATAATGACGAGCTCAACGATACCTCATTCTTATTTCTACGCCACTCTGTTTAGCGAAAAAGAGCGAAAAACGAAAAATCGATTTCAACAAATTTTAAACTAAAAACTCACTCAATTTTCACGCAATCTTTATACAAACACCACTCATTTGTAGCCAACAATAAATTGATTGTTTAACAGTCATTTAGCTTGATAATTGAGTCCATCCATATAGTGAAAACGCGCGTAAATAGCGAAAAATGGCGATTTTTACTGTTTCTTTCTTATTTTTCGTTGATCTTTCAACCATTTTCCATCAAACTTAACAATTGTTTTATAAATATATCCTCTTTTACATTCCTGGTAGCACACTGACAAATTGAATTTCAAAAACTCCAAAATAATTGTGGTCTGAAGAGGGTCTTCATGGTGCCTGTTTTACCCCTTCATGTCCTCGGCTAACTTCGATTGAATAAATACAGACTACTATCAGTAACTGCATTAATTCAAAATGTTTTATAATGAAAGTACTTTAAAGTAATTGAAGAAGATGGACTTTTTTGCATCTAAATATGATGCTGTTTTTGCTCCATTCTAATTGAACGCTTTTTCTGATCGACTAGCTGGGTATATGTTGTGGTAGGATCCACCTAATTTGCATAGTGGAGTACCGACCATATAAATATGGTTGGTACCGGGAAGAGAGGGATGAATCAAGAGACTCTGCCCGACTGCGACTCAGTCAACACATTCTCCAGGAACGGTCTTACCAGGAATATACAAAAGACTATGTGTAAATATTGTGTACACTTTCTTGTTTCAATACATTTTGTTCTAAGTACCTTTTGTGTTGCATTATTATTCCATGCATTAGTCAAGTTTCAACAGTATAAGTAAAACAAACATATATGGACAAGCACAAAATGTCTTTTTGTAGTGAAAAACACGCTGATTTCGAAATAATTGTTGAATTTTAATGAAACTTTCAGGACTTATTCACAAATGAATGAAATTATTTTAGAAATGTTCCATTTTGAGAAAATCTTGGTAAAATGAACCTGAAATAGCCAGTCAGATATATGCCATGCGTGATACACACTGACTAGTTTTAAAATTTTTGTCCAATACTTTCTTTTTTTACACGTGGTCTTCTCTTTATGGCCAACCAAAAATCCCCTTTTCAATGTTTGTTTAAATTAATCAATTAAAAGTTTAAAATGTTCACTTGTTCGTTGATAAACTACATTTTCTAATTAAATCGAAATGTTTCGCAAATATATTTTGATTAAAGTAACAGTATTTTTTTAAAACCCTTTTGTGTCTGGTCTTGAGATTTTGACCAGGTGTGTATGTGCACTGGAAGATATGCAAGAAGCACAAAATCAAAACCACTGAGAGATAGTATGAGCACCAACCAGCCACAGTTATCCAAAATCACGATGTAACTATGCACAGGTGACAGCGCTACTTGGAACAGCCTATGTGTTATGAAAAGTGATGCGTTTCTAAGCTGCGGGTGGGAAATGAGATACACTCCTGGTCAAGATCTTAAGACCAGATAGAAAAAAAAATATATATATATATATATATATATATATATATATATATATATATATATATATATAAAAAATACCATTAAAATATATTTGCGAAACATTTACATTGACACATTGGAGGTTGTCAGTTATGGTCTGGGGTCCATTTTCGTACAATGGAACTCTTGAGTTACAGAAGAAGAACGCGAATTAAGGAAATAAAAATAAATGACACAGTTTCGACAGTATATCTGCCTTCATCAAATTATATTTAAAAATTTCATACATGTATAAAAATGTAAAAAAAAAATATACAAGTCCTTGTAAAAACGTCGTTTGTCTTGAGAAAAAACGATTGTATTGGTAATCAACGCAACAAAACGAAATCAACGCAGCTAGCGTGAATGGAATGCAATTGAGACGTAAGTAACGGGGACGAAAAGTGTCTTTAAATTTTCCGTTAATTGATTAGTTAGTAAGACCAATCAATCAACTACTTTGGTATATAATATTACGGCCTTTTCCGATCAATGCAACACTTTCTGAAGGGCCGCCGATTCGACTCGCTTGATGAAGTCGAGGAAGCGTGTCAAGAATTCTTTGATTCGAAGCCAGCTGAATGGTACTTTTACCAGATCCGAAAGCTTGCAGATCGATGGCAGAAAGTCTTGGAAAATGATGGTCTTTATTTTGATGGTCTTTATTTTTGTTGTTTTTGTTATTACTTGGCGAGTAAAATTTCAATTTTTTGCAAGTGTTTACGAACTTTTGGGACAACCTAATATTATTATTATTATTAATAATAATAATAATAGTAATAATATTCCTTTGATTTCTCGTTTCTTTTCGGGTCCCGCTCAGAGACCTAAGGTCACAAATCGCATCATGACATCTAAAAAAAAAAAAAAAATCACACACATATTTTACATAGATAAGCCCTTCGTATTTTTTTAACTATACTCGTGAGAACAATTTCTTTTATTTCTTTCAGGCATGTGCTTTCGGGAATCTCTTCAATGAGTCTATTGGAATCTTTTCCAGTCAATCCGAGGGCTCCAACTACGATAGGGATTGTTGATGTTCTCATGTGTCATGTTTATTATTATTATTATTAGTAGTAGTAGTAGTAGTAGTAGTAGTAGTAGTAGTAGTAACAGTATTCACAATATGTGAAGTTGGTCGCTGGTAGAATGTTTATTTTCAGCTCAACTCTCGTGATTTGAGAAAAGAAACCAATAATTTCTTTCCTTCACCGTCAGGCTGTATCCAATATTTTCCGAAGTATCCTTGCTGTTTCGGGCAGGCGAGCTTTTTGTAATCGCTTTATTTCCATATAGATAGGTATGTGTGTGCGTGCGTGTGTTTGTGCGTGCACTCAAAATCTAAAATAGATGTAATCATTGTAATATACCATCAAGTAAGTCAAGGAAAAACGCGCACACAAAAACACAAACACACACACATATATATATATATATATATATATATATATATATATATATATATATATATATATATAGGTTGCGTGTAAAAAAGAAACGCCCTATTGAAAATTATAATTTTTTTTATTAATATTGCCATATTTGCATTAAACAGAATATATTCCTCAGATCGGCTCCCGTTACGATGTGTGACAGTCCATGACACAAGCGCAAAAATGGTGGTGCACTGTTCATGGACCTTGTGTTTCAGTAGATTCCAAAACCATGAGAAGTCGTCATTCCAAGCTGATGAGTACGCCATCTGTGGTAGACACCCACAGAAGGGGTCATCGTCCAACGTGCAGGTTGGGAGAAAATGTGCAAAAGATAGAATTTATTGCTCCACTTTTGCATTGAGCCCTCTTTTAAATTAATGTCTTGAACGCTGAAATCTTACTCTTTGTTCTTTTACATATATATATATATATATATATATATATATATATATATATATATATATATATATATATATATATATTTATTTATTTAGAAAATTTATAACATAAACATCATCACTTGATAAGACAAATGGTTTTAAAACAATTTGTTTTGCGTTCAACATCATCACTTGATAAGACACCGGGAGTGTTGAAACAAAATGGCTATTATTTTTAGTGATTTTATAACATGTTTATGTTATAAATTTTCTAAATAAATAATTATATCTGCTCTACTTTGTATTGAGTACTCTTTTAAGTATAGTAATTGTTGGTTATTGGATTTCATTCCGTATACACCAATTATATATATATATATATATATATATATATATATATATATATATATATATATATATATATAATTGGTGTATATATATATCGAATATGGATAGGAATCCGAAAAATGATAAGATAAAGAACAAGTCGGAAATGGATCTTAATCTAACAGGTTTTACTTTATTAAAGTTTCATCAGAGATCAAGAAAGAAATGGTAACAAATTCTAAAAAAGAGGCAGATTAATAGTTTGTTGTGTTTGGCTTTTTCTTATTGGTTAGATAAGTGTCACATGTAATAAAATATTATTTGAATATTATCTGTTACTTCAATACACGTGAAACTATCTAACCAATAAGAAATAGCCAAACACAAAAAATATTAATCTGCGTAACTTAGCTTTTTATAATTTTTTACCATCTCTATTTTGATCTCTGATGAAGCTTTAATAAAGTAAAACATGTTAGATTAAGATCTATTTCCTACTTGTTCTTTATCCTATCATATATATATATATATATATATATGTGTGTGTGTGTGTGTGTGTGTGTGTGTGTGTGTGTGTGTGTGTGTGTGTGTGCTAAAAAACAGTTATCTCGCTGTGATCAACTGAAAAATCCTGAACAAGGAAAGAAAAAAAGAGCAAATGGCAAACACCTACGTATTCAGTAAAGTGCTCAATGCCCAGATTATCTAGACCAACCAAAACACACACACACACACACACACACACACACACACACACACACACACACACACA